TTGGGACTACAAAAAAAAGAAAGTGGGAACTTCTCCCTGGGACGGAGGGAGTAATAAAAATATACTATAATAAACACTACTTTTTCATAATTGAACATATTTAACTAATTCAGTCAAACCAGAGAAATTCATTAATTTCAGCTGATTCAATTCACTTCAGTGCTACTAACGGGCTCTTACTAAACCCACTCTTAAGGAGTGTTTGCTAAAGATTAACATAAGTGCTTTTCAGCTTTTGGCTTAAAAAAGCTGAAATGAGTGTTTTCAAATGACAGCTTCTACTTAAATTAATCACTTAAAAGCTAAAAGCTGGAAGCAGGTTGAGAGGTGTTTTAAACTGCTTTTCACTTTTTCTATTACACAAAAGACACTTATTTTATCAAACATTACCAACTTTTACTTTTTCACAATCACTTTTTTCTCAAACACTATCAACTTAACTTTTACCATTAATCACTTTTTCCAAAATCACTTTCTAAAAGTAGAAGCAATCACAAACACTTCCCTTAGTTAAACCAAATGCACTCTACTTTAGTGTGAAACATTGAAACTTGAAAGTTTGGGAATAGCCGAATATTGCAAATATACACAACAAGCAATTACGCTCTGAGTTTTGCTACGTGCACACAAAATGTGTACAAAAAAGGTGTACAAAATGTGTCACGAGGCAGAATTCAAAACGGATTTATTTAAAGACTTTCATCAGGTTAGACCATATTTAAACATATTTATAAAGCATAAGTTTTATTATTGAACAATTGGAATTATTAGCTCAAAACAAGTAAGAAAGCATAACGTCAACGTCACAAAATGCATTTAACTGCAACAGAAGGTTCTTACGAAATATCAAAACATCAATTTAAAGTTTATTTCAAAATATACATTCCATGATCTTTAAAGAACCCCAAAACACACCATATGCATATGAGACCTATGCCTCCCGATCCGGGTGCTTCATGTTGCTTGGTGTACAAAAAAGGTGTACCACCCATTTTTCATTATACTCTTCCTGAGTGTGTGTATATATATACACATTTTTCATTATACTCTTCCTGAGTGTGTATATATATATACATATACCACTCCATCTTTATAACCTCCTCGCATATACACACCCATTCTCTATCTATCATATTCTCTTGATTATCTCAAAGCAAAGCAGAATGGCTCTGTTGCTGAGCATCCTGAAGTGTGCAATCTTACTCATTGCTCTTCTAGTTCAAAACCAGGTTAGCTTTGCCTTAGATTTGTACGCCGTACACTTCATTTTCCACTCTCTATTTAGATCTGTGCCTGATGCATTAGTGGTGAATGTTGCTTGCAGGCTTCAATGGCAGCTGTACATTCATCTTCCCTGCAATCGCTTGGCAACAATCGCATGGTAACCATTTTTTCTCTTTACTATTTGGGCAACCACTATGATTTTGCCCAGCTAAAATGGACTGTATGAATGTTATCATAAACTCAAATTATATTGATTATTAGTTGTAATTATATGCTATACACTGGATACATAGATAGGTTAAGCTGGGTTTGGGATTGATATTGCAGCTAAATAAAGCAAGTTACTCGAACAACACTCATTAAACTTTTGAAAATTACAACGGAAACTACTGTTCAAAGTTATTGGCAAAGCAGTATTATGTTTGGGAATTGGGAGTAATGTGTAGCTTAAGATCTTCTATCCGAAGTTCGGGATCAAATCAAAATCATTTCTCTGGTGAAAATTATGTACACATTCATTTTCCTCATTATACTATTGGATTTGTATGTTGCACTTTGAATGGCTCGACTAAAGTTCATAAAGTGCAACAGACGGACTCTAAAGCTCATCAAGTTGAGTAAAATGTGGCGGTTTGTACTTTGTAGTTTGCACGATAAATGTGGTTTTTGCCAGAAACGCGCTTACACCACAGCTATATTGATGTTACTCCCTTCGTCTCTTAAAATTTGGATAGCTTTGCTTTTTTAGCATATTTCCATTTAATGTAGCATAGGTTAAAGTTACTTCTTTCTACTTGCGTAAATTTAAGGTAAACAAAATTTGGTGTATTACTACAAATTCAATTCAATTTTTACCAAGTCTTATGGGATTAAGAAAGTATGCTTTATGCATAGTTGGTTTGTTAGTGAGAGGCAAAAATTTGAGCCCGTGCTCTCAACATCAATGATAAATCGAGTGCACAATTTTTGGTGTTTAATAAAACTATAAAAGGGCAAATTTAGCGTTTGTCCAAAAAATGTCTGCTAAGTGGAAAAACTGTAGCGAACTTGTCTTAATTTGTAAAATATGTTATTTGAAATTTAAAGTGTTTAATGAAAAACACTATGACGTTGATATAAGGCCAAAGCTACGTGACTCGACAATCGTTTAGTGTGCAACTCTCCACCAAATACTCATTTTTGTTGTTGCTCCAACTAAAAAAAGGTGCCTTACGACATACTTTTTGCCCCTTTTTTGCTAGACTACAATGAAAGAAAAAGACAATATTACCTCACTTTTGTGGGTGTGTATTTTCTTCTATTGAGTCAAGCAATACCCTTCGTTAATTAAGTTATCATGTCAAATAATTCAATTCTTTGCAAAACAGAGGTGCCCTATTTTGCATCTCATTTTCAAAAATATTTATATTTGCACTCAATTCCGTATGAGAAGACACAAATCTCCCTTAATCTGGAATATGTTGAAGGTCAATAGAATTGTTGATGAAGGACATTTTTGTCTTTTCATACGGGATTTGAGATGCAAATTTAAATATTTTCAAAAACGGGTTGCAAAATTCAATTTGAATAATAAAACGGGGTAAAAACTCAAATTATCCTATTTTTAATGGGCATTTCCTACTGGTTCCATCCCTGAGAATTGATAAGCGATAAGGAGTACTCCGTAAGTCCGTATGACAGGCACAGCATATACGGAGTAGTTATTATTCGGAGTATTAAATTCCTACTAACACATTTTCTCCGGTTGCAGTATGGTGTAACTGAAGGCAGCCTGCATCCACGAGGTAGGACAATAATTTGCTCAGACTGTATTCCTAATGGTCAAAGTTTTTTTTATATGAATATGAATAAATTGTTTCCCTCATGTACTTTTGGATTTTGGATACTTCTGGATTTTTTCTAGGTAAATAGTGCATGCGATTTAACATGCCATAATTACTTGTCTTTACACAATTACACAGCACTATTGTTCTTCCAAAATTTGAAAATTTCTTACTGTTTGTATACACAACCTTATTATTTCCGGTTTACACATTTGCAATTATGCAATCAGACTCATGAATAGAAAGACTTGCGATACACTTCTCAACTCGTTGAAAATTAAGTAATGGAGTCGGTAATTTTCAATGAGTTGAGAGTGTATTTAAGTCTTCTGGTTTAGGGTCTAGATGTAGAATCACAAATAGTGAGGGCTTGTTTGCCTCTTTTCTCCCATACTGAATTGAAATTCCACTTTTTGATTCACAATTTTACATTTGTACAATTGATTCACTCTTTGATTATTTTTAGTGCATGATTATTGTCTTTCGCTATCTATGATCTTTTTATTAATATTTTCTGATGATTAAAATTACTAGAGGCATAACAAAAATGAAAGTCGTCGACTAAATGAGTAAATGTAGAATTTATTTATTTTTTAAATCAAAATTAGTGATTTTTTTGTCCCTATGATGGTGCAGACTGTTCACCGAGGTGCCAAAACCGGTGCTCGGATACACAGTACAAGAAGCCGTGTCTCTTCTTCTGCAATAAGTGCTGTGCTAAGTGTCTGTGTGTGCCTCCAGGCACTTATGGCAACAAGAGAGTCTGCCCTTGCTACAATAACTGGAAGACCAAGGAAGGAGGCCCCAAATGTCCTTAAAATCTCTGATGTTTTTTTTGCCTAAAAATACATCAATAACATTTCTCTATCTATTTCCATATTATTATGCATGTATTTCTGGCAATTCTGAAAAAAGTAGGGGATCATCCCGTAGGGCTTCTCTAATAATGTAAACTGGGGCCGGAGAGAGAAATTAGGGTTTCATCAAATTTGGGCCCTTTAGTAGGTAGATCTTAATTGTAGGTGTCGTATCTCAGTATCTGTGCTCAATTTTATCGAGATTCAATAATAATATAAATTGAATCCAATTTCTCTTGGTAGCAATTAAAATGACCCAATCCTCAAGGATTTCTTTGGTCTTGGACTTTTGGTTCAACCCAGGCCGACCCACTTTTTGGTCCAGGCTTATTCTTTTATTGAAGTCCAACAGGTCAGCCCACTGAGGGTTATAATGATATGCCTCTCTGAGTCTCTGACTTCCTAATTTCCCTTGAAACATGCTCTTAATGTTTTCTGGTCACAAAAACATGAAACCCAGTTGAATAAGATCCAGTCTCAGTTATTTGTTTCTCAACACATGGTATAAAACTGGTTAAGAATAGACATTTGAAAGTATAAAACCTCACATCTAGGCTAATGCAAAACTCGCAAAAAGAAATGACATAAATACTTCATTGTTGGATCTACAACAAAATAGCAAATGTTTTAGGAAACCAGCATTTGTGGATCTACAGAAAGTTGTTTTGGCTAGATAGGAGCATATATACCACACTACAAAGGAACATCTTAATGTGAATGATTTTGCTCCGCACTTGTTCAATTGGCAATGCTATTCATAAATTTGATACTCCTTGGATTCTTTCTAAAGCTAAACCAAAATAGACTCATTATCTTCCCATTTTCCATTCTAAATATCTCGAGCTCGTTAGTGGCTGGCCGTAGTTCTTGTTTATGTCTTCTTCATTCTTATTCAGTGATTTTATTTATATATATGTCCAAGTATATCCTGGAAAGATCATAGTAGTTATATTTGAAGAGAGTAGTTATTTCTCAGTCTTATTATGAACATTTGACTATTTGAGAACACATGTTCTTACGTTTCTGCCTACGTTAAACTCACTAGGCTAAGGACTGCGTCTTGAATCCTTGAGATCCATTTTGAATTGTCCCTGACAAAGCCTATTACCGATTACCTCTTATTCAGATTTTTTGTTCTACAAAAAAGTTGGTTGCTTGGAGCGAGAGAGGGGGTGCCTAAACTTGGTTCCCGGACCAATATATTTAGAAGTTACATTACATGAATACAAAATGGGGAAAAAGACACAAGTCACATAACTAAACATTGTTATCAGTCCCAAAAATTAGAGACACTGGTTTGGTCCGATGAACCAAGTCTAAACTGATGAGCACTTCTTTTCAGGCTACTAATTAGTAATTACTTAATTAAGAATAATAACAGTGATTATAATCTCATTTCCTGCACCTCCAAGCAGATACAGAGAAGAGGGCTCGATCTTGCCAGCATATAACCAAACACCCATTCTCTTCCTTCAAATTATACCCATCACACCTGCAACTCTGCAACAACCTTCTTGCTTGCAGCATTGAGTAGTAACTCAACCCCACATTCCCGAAACCGGCCGACCCCAACCTCCAAAACCACTTCTCTAGCCTCTCATGCCTCTCCTTCCTTTCCACTCCCTCGCACGCCACAATGTTCTTGATCTCCTCCCCTAAAAGCGCCTTCTCCACCCTCATTCTCTCCGATGATGTTCTTGGCAGCGTTGATTCCAGGCAATCGAACCACGCTGCGTAGTAATACAACGACTCCGACATCCTCTCGGTCAATGTTTGCCCATTGTGGTTACTCTCCTGCTCCGTTATCATCACGATTTTCGGGGAGAGTGCCCACAAAGAGTTAAGGAATCCCTTTATCTTGCTACTCGAGGCAGAGTCATTCTCGAGGAAATCCCCTGGCGGTGAACTCTTCCTGAATTGGTCATTGTATGCAAGGAGAGTGTGTAGCTGTAGGCTTGAGGTGATGGCCAGAGCCTCTCCCGTTTTGACACGGAGTTTCTGGAAGTCTAGGTTTTCGATCCTTGTGACGACCGGAGTGAACTGGAAAGGGATGTCGAGCTTCTCTGCCTCGGCCGTGAGGAGACGGGCCATTTGGTCCAGCGTTTGTCTGTGGTGGTGCACCCCCGTTATGCGCAGATGCGGTGGCCCTTCCGGGTGGCTGCTCAAGTCATGCAGCAGCTGCAACCACTGTGTTGGCTCAGCAGCATTCAGGTCTATGATGTGAACCAGCTTTTCCCCTTCCATGGCTTCCATTATTGCTTGGTTAGTCACTATGAAAGCCACCTGCAACCATAAACCTTGTTAGATACTCCGTATTAAAGATCCAAGTTTTCGAACATTAAAAATAATACTTCGTACTATCGTACAACTCTGTGCATTAGAAAACTCACTTTTTTTTTATCATTTGCTCCCTATTCTTTTATTTACACTGTTTACTTTTATCATGTTTTACTTATCTCATAGTATCAAAAATAGGTAAAATATACTTTGAATTTTTGTAATTAGATCTGTCTTAATAAGATCTAAATATCTGTCTTATTTATCTCCAAGCTTTGGAGTAACTAGATCTGTCTTAATAATTTTTTTAAAGATCAAATTTTTGTTATTTTTGCTAACCAATAGTTCAATATATTAGTGTTTAAAGTCTTGCATTACTAGTTACTCTATGAAAACATTATATTATTCTAAGTAAATAAGAAAATATAAAGTCTTTCCACAATATCACTATGCATTTCTGATTTCCTTCCTTAACAATAATAATACTGTAATTCCTTGGTTCATTTCATCTCTATGAGCTCTGTTCTTTATTTTGCATCAAGAATTAATATATTTGTTTTGTTTTTCATTATCAAATTCAAATAAAACTATATTGGACTATTGGAGAGTTATTCCAATGAGTTTAAATTATGGTGATATTAAGTATTCCCATATTTAAAATTATGGCGACATGAAATATAGTGTACCTTCAAGAAGGGAAATAGCTCGAAAAGCGTTTTCTTGGCGGTCAAATCATCGGAAAGAGCGGTCAACCTGGTGGAATGAAGGGCCTTGTAAAGTCCGGGCCACGTCCGGAGAATCCTATCGGCGAGCGCCTCCGCGAAGTAGGAGGCGATGCGCTGCATGGTGTCGCCGTCAGGGGAGGCTAACTGGGAGATTTGGTCGAGCACTTGGTTGGCGTTCTCCAGGGCGCCGGCGGCGACCTGATTCGCGCACGTGAGAAGGAGGTGGATCAAGCAGAGCCCCCTTTCCTCCGGCTTCAGCTCCCCGAGCCAGGAGGACCCAAAGCCGCCGGGGGAAATCGAGGTCGCCGGGAAATTCTGTTGCGGCGAGGAGGATGTAATAGACGACGATCCATCATCCTGAAACATTCTTCAATAGAAAAAATTAATGCTTCCGTATTACTGTTTTGGAGGAAGAATCAGGAAACTGTGCAGGCTCAGTCTTACAGAGGAAGTAGCTAAGGGAGGTTGGGCTGTTTCTATATAAGGACGAGATTATATTGTACTTTTCCTCATTTTATACTGTTCACATATTTTGTTTTCAGCATCCTTCGGAGTATTTTTTTATCTACGTATCACGCAATTTGTTTTAAAGTATTCTCCAAATAATACTATCTCTATCACAAATCTTCACAATTTCACTATTTATGTTTAGTCGGTTTACGTTTTTATACAATTCCACTCAAATAAACACGACAAACAAAAAGTAGGATACTTACATGTAATGTATGTATATGTTGGCACGAGAATTAAGAAAATTATGTGATAAAAGAGGTGGAGAGTAGGGAGAATTACTCTTAAGTGTAAATTCTTCAACATAAAAGGAAAATTTTATTTATTTTGATACATATATGTAATATTACCTTCGCTCCGATGAACTTTGCCAGCTTCTAATTAGGTATGAAATAATAAGTAACGTAAAAGTTGAAAAGAATCACACATGAGTTGATTTAATTGGAAATTGACAAAGTTTTTGAAATAAAAAATGGAAGTTGACAAAGTTCAATGAGATAGAAATAGTACTACTTCAATTCCTCCATTCTGCTAATATTGTCCTATCTTTCGTTTGGTTCTGTTCACTATGATTGTGTCATTTAAATTTGGTAAAGATTGTATAATTCTATGCTCCGTATTATTTTTACTTTATTAATTCAATGGCAATCATATAAATTCATTTTTCTTAATAATCGTGTCACCTCCTAATGTTTCAATATTAGTGAAAGAAAGGTACTACCTCCATCCAACTAATATTGAGAAATAATGAGGTAATGTGGTTATTAAGAAATACTACATATGTGTTATGTGGTTGATATTAAATTGAAAAATAAAATAGAGTAAGAATGATTTATAAACACACAATATTTACTAAATTTGGCACGAGATAGTCATAGCGGAACAAACCTAAAAGGAAGATGATGCAATTTTAAGGGAAGAGAGAAAAGGGTTGTTTGGAACCGATTCTGCTTCTACTTCTTTTTTAAAGAAAAAACAGAATCAGAATCAGTTTCCAAAAATTGATCTCCTCCAACTTCTAAAAAACTGCTTCTAGTAGAAAATTAGAGCACCAGAAGTATTTTTTCACTTTCACCAAAACGGATCTGGATTCTCTGCCTTGTTTTAACATGTACAGCAAGGTACGGTGCGTGGCTTTGATAGCCACGTGATTCAACCAAAGCAGCTTCACCGCCTCTCCTCCCCTATTGTCCCTATCGTTGGATGCCGCAAGGCACCTCTGCCGCATGATAGAGGATTCAAATCTCAGTAAAACACTTCGACTTCTATTTCTGCTCGTTCAGAGATCATAATCACTTTTAATAATCACATCCAAACACCCAAAATATAACAAAAGGATCATTGAAGCGGTAGTAATAATTGTGAATATAAAGCGGTTGGAATAAAAAATGAACAAGGGTGAATGGTTTAAAATAGGGAGGTGTTTGTGTGTCAGATACGTACATACATTTGATATGAGTTAGTTGATTTAAGCTTTTCATTTATGGATTGTTACGTTGTCGACAAAGCGTGAGAGCAGTTGTTGTCGTTACCCTGCTTGTCCTTTTGTGTTTAAAGAGGAACATGGATTTTGGATTTATGCGTCAAAACGAGCCAGCCTGTTTTGGCACCTTCTGCTCTCCTTCTCATCTTCTCATTTGAAACTTCTCATTTGAAACTTCTCGGTAAATACCCTAGCCTGGCCTGCCCTCCTCCTTTCATTTTTGCTCTTCAAAAAACAGTAACGTTTGCTAGTAACATGGGGTGTGCCACACGTTCGTACAACAATATTGGGGAGTTTATTTATTTATTTATTTTAATTTTTAGATAAGGTTTGGGATGGATAAGGTTTTATTTGTATAATTTTATGCTTGTGGGAATGAGAAATATATAAAGCTTAAAGTATGACACATATTTTAAAAGATTCCTGTATTTTTTTCTTTGGTTTTCATCCATGTAATAATATTCATTTACCATTTTGCTTTCTATTTTGCTTTTAGTTCACATTTTTGAAAAAAAGTTTACTTCTAACTCCAAAACCACTTTATTTATATATGAGAGGTAAAATAATGTAAAACTAACTATTCGCATATTTAAAATATGTATTATTAATCTTCTAAAAAATAAGGAAAAGGGTCAAATAGGCCCTCCTACTATTGCGTAACCATCACTTAGACACATGTATTATAAAAAAGAGCCATATAAACCCATTTAGGCTTTGTTTGCAATCACTTCTGCTTAAATAAAAGCATTTTTGGGGAAAAAGTGATTAGTAGTAAAAGTTGGTAGTGTTTGGTAAAATAAGTGCTTTTTGTGTAATAGAAAAAGTAAAAAGTAGATTCTACACGAAAGCCGAGAAAGTAAAAGTTGGTAGTGTTTGGTAAAATAAGTGCTTTTTTCTTACAAAAAGTTAAAAGCACTTTTTTAATGGGTTGCAAACAAACCCTTATTCTTCAAAAAGAATCAATTGAGCCCATTTACCTCTAATAGCAGGTAACTTTTTCTCTCACTTATTTATTTATTGCCTTTTTAATAGGGCATTCAAGCCTTTTTGGTCGTCCAAAAAAACTATTCGTCCCAGAGATTTGAACCCGGGATCAGGATGTGTAGCAAAGCAACAAGGACGGAACCCAGCTTGACTACATGCTTATTGTGAAATAATATCACTCAAAATGTATATATACTACAGCTCTTCACACTAATTATTATTAATATAACGAAATTTTATTGATGTTGTTATATTATACTAATTAAAATTTATTTTTATTGATGTTATATTATACTAATTACCTACAGAGTATTTGTGAAATATTCAAAACATCTATCATTATTATTTATAATTTTAATATATAAATAGTGTTTTCACATATTGTGTATCCAATTCTAAACACTTTTTAAGTTTTGTTGAAAAACTACATGTTTGAGCTTTTTTTTATTTATCACTATAAGATTTATAAAATTTTGAATGAGAGTAAATTTTTACCCTATAAATTTAATCTCATATATAATTAACTATATTATACATTTATCTTTTCACAAAACATTGACCGGTTTTCGATACGGGTTGACTCATGACCCAATAAATATTGGCCCAGAAAATGGCTGGGTTCTGGATCAGTAATGAAATCATTATTGAGTTATTAGTCAATCCGGTAAACGCTACAAACCCTGGTCAATATTTAATAAAAGAAAATATAAAATATACGTAGTAGTTCATAATATATTAGATTAAAGGGAAAATAGAGTTAAATAGGAGTAAATCAATCTGTAAATGCATAAATAGAAACAAATTGTTTATTAACCCAAATTAAGACTAAAATATACTCTATATTCCTATTCTAACCTTACTATCCTAATAAAAACATAAAACTAATAAAAATTATTTATAATGAGATAGTAAACAAATATAAACCATTCGTAAACATTTTAAGTATATATATTAATAAAAAATAAAAAATTATATTTCCAACAAGAATTTAAACTTTAAAAATAAATAAATAGATAAAACACATTAAAATCGATGTGGGCTTTTTTTATTATAAATTAAAATATCACTTTCCTGTTAAGTTGTAGTAAGCGTATAATATGAATATAGAGTATATTTTAGTCCTATTTTGGGAAGATAAACAATTTGTTCCTATTTATGCATTTACGGATTGATTTAATCCTATTTACCGCTTTTTGCCTTTAATCTAATATATTATGAACTATATTTTATGTTTTCTTTCACTAATAAATATTGACCATTTTTTTGCGTTTACTGGATTGATTCGTAACTCAATAATTATGTCATCACCG